TAAACTTTAATCTCATTGCTTTCTTGCATGTTCATCTGATCAATGACCTGCCAACATAACTACAAAATAAAATAGCAACATACATTGTGTCCTACAACTATGTGACAGGACAGTGATGTGATACATGGGAGACATCAAACAACATCTGAAATCTGAGGCTAAGTATATGCTTCCAGAACTAGCCATGCTATTTTGTCAAGGGTCAGTTCACTCATTTAATTTCGCACTTGCTATTTTTTAAATGTCAGCTATTGTGATCAAATAGATATATTATAGAAGTTTTTTTACCATTGCTTGAACTATTAGAGTAAAACATAAATTACAAAGTAGCCACTTTGGGGGTAAAACATTAGCAGGAGAACATTTTTTTTCAAATGTAAGATTCAAGTCCCCCATTTTGTTCTGCTAACATTGAATGGTTACATTAATGATGTTTTTTTCTGAATTGTAGTCTGTGTTGACAGTTACCCCATGACCTCAGCTGTTAACATGAATGTGTTGGCATGCCAGTTTGCATTCTTGCTTCATAGTGGGATTGATAATGACAATGAAAGAGTTGGTGAAGTAGAGGTTGGGATTAATGATCTTTCAATATCATGATGGACATACAGTAGGTATCCAACATATAACTTCTGTTTAGATACTAAAGATACCTCTACATAGAATCAAATTGTCACACACAAAAAAATACCATAATTATTTCAAGGTCTGACCATGAATCATAATAATCACTACAAATGTCTTCTGAACATCCAGACCTTGATCAGTCAGGTTGGATATTTTTGACCAATTCAGTGTTGGTTCTTGCTTGTACTGAACAGTGGATGTACAGTACATTTTGAATTAATAAAGTATCTTCTTAGGACATTGAATGATCAGAAGCTCTCTTCTACATTCCATGTTCCAGGTAATAAGCTGCACTACTGCAGTCCACAATGCTCAATTCAAGCAGGAACACTTTATGATCATGTTAAAAATAAGTGAATAGTACCATTGCCAGGGATACGCACTGCTTGCATATTCCATGTATTCAAAAAATCTGGAACTATCTTACTTGGATAGCTTTCAGACTGCATTTTTCCCATTTTTTCTTTTCCCTGAAGGTAAACAGTGATGGGCCAAACACCCCCCTGTTCAGTTCACGGTCAAACATTCAAACCTACCGGAAGTTTGACTGTGAACTTTGACCAGGGACAATTCACTAAGCAGTATCTTACCATATCCGAGTATGTGGTAAGATAACGCACAGCTACTAAAATACCACGAGTTATATTAATAAGTCATGAGGTATTTTATTAGTAGTGAAAACATTCTTTAATGTTTCAGCTGTCAGCAGGGTTCCTTACTGACAGCTGAATGTAAAAAGAATTGCTGGCATTGCAATTAAAAAATGTTTTTAAAAAACGAGTGGAGTCCCCCCCAAAATCCATACCAGACCCTTATCTGAGCATGCAGCCCAGCAATTCAGGAAAGGGGGAGGATCATTGAGCGCCCCCCCCAAACTATACCAGGCCCCATGCCCTAAAGATAGGGGGGTGATTTGGGGCAGGGGGGCTCCCCCCCAAAGCACCTTGTCCCCATGTTGATTGGGACAAGGGCATCTTTCCCACAACAACGGCCAGTGGTTGTGGGGGTCTGCGGGCAGGGGGCTTATGGGAATCTGGAAACCCACTTTAACAAGAAAGCCCAGAGATTCCCCCCCCCCCCCCCCCCCCCCCCCCATGTGAATGAGTATGGGATACATGGTACTGCTACCCATTCACAAAAAAATTACAGGAGACAGTCTTTGACAAGTCCTTTATTAAACAAAAATAAAAAAAAATGTCTCCAGAAGTAGATCCAACATCAATCACGATGCTCACCACCACCGCTGACCCACAAAAAAAAAAAAAAACGCTCCGCTCTCGACTCTGGCTCCTGCTTTCTTACAGCTGCACCAGGATGACAGTTCTTAAATACTGTGATGACATCACAAGGGTTTGGGATCACACCTGCCCCCTTGTGATGTCATCATGTGCTGTGATTGGCCAAAGCATTGCACCTGACCTGTGGTGAGGTGCAATGCTTTAGCCAATCACAATGCACTGTCAGGACGCAGTGCATTGTGGAATGTCCTTACTGTTCGTGTTTGCCAAACACACGAATGGCTGATGCTGGAGTTGAACATCTAGCCCATCTCTAAAGGTAAACAGCTCAGAACTGTTAAACCGGCCATACGTGGATCTAAATTTGGACAATTCAGCAATTCAGCAGGGACCAGCCAAATTTTGATCCATGTATGGGCACTGTGGTTGCACAGAATGATCTACAAATAACTTCTGTACAACCAACCTGTAGGGTTTGCCCCAATTGATCAGTGCTGCCAGATATAGCCAGCAGCACTGATCATTGTATTCTAAAGGCGGGGAGGTCTCCCCTGCCCTCTATACTACTATCTTCCTTTTCTTTTGGACAGTGCATACCCAGTCATATAGTTCCAGCACTTGGTAAATTAAACTTTACTACTGCTCACTTCTGCACTTGAGATGACCTTGCTACTGTTTATGATGAATTGAGTGCCAGATATCATCATGTGCCTAGTCCTTACTGTTAATCACTTTACATGCTAAATTGTGTTATTACCTTTGTTAATCTATTTTATGCTTGCCTAGTTACCAACCATACTGGGTGACAATATATTGTTTGCCTTTACTACCTGGTTGGGTGCCTGTTTTCTTTGATATAGTAGTACTATTGGGTACTGAGTATTACTTTCAGTGATGTCCTGTGATATTGTATGTTTGTACACTCAACCTGGTATTTCAAAGGGGCTGAAGTTCTTGAGAAGGTCAAGGCAAAGTGTTTTTTTTTTAGTAACATTTTTGTGTACAGATTGCTCTATTACAGGCTGCACAATTGACACTGGTGTCACAGAGCATAATTGAGTGCCTTCAGACCATCTTTCTCTAATTGAATATCCAATTGAAAAAGAGAAAACAAAAATACTAAAATATATAAAATTTACATTGAAAAATATATTTTAAAATGTTTCATAAATAAAGAAAATTATTACAAAGCAACCATTAATTCCCTGTAACAATTCAGAGTACACATTTTCAATCCAAGAATGCAATGAGTATGGCTGGACCTCCCACTCTTCAAAATAAAATTTTTAACAATTTTCATTCATGCACAACTGAGTGAACAATTTAGATTTTACCCCAAGAATATGATTTTTTCCATGCAAAGTTCACTTTAACTTCACAATGCTAATGACCATTGTTTGTTATTTACCGTAATCCCTCTCAACTCTATAAGGACTTCTAGACTTGTCACACAACTTTATGCTCTTCCTTGGGGACCGCACTCTCGCAAGCATTCTACATGGCTGACCTGCTCTATGTGCGCATTCCAGCTTGTTAAACAAATGTGAAGATGTATTAGTTCTATGAATTTTAGCAGGCATAAAGGAGCTGGGTATGAAAGAATAGGAGCAGAATCATCATAAATGGTCTTCAGGGAGGGCAAAACTGGGATTTATTCAAAATGCTGAATCAGTACATAAAAATAGCAACTTGGCACCCAACTGCATGGATCCCCTAGGCTCATGCTACAAACAAAGCACAATGTAAGTAATCACAGGACAGTATGAAATACTAGTAAAGCTCACAGAAACTCCAGATCACAAAGACAATAAGACCAGTATGCCCACAGCCTTGCCTGTCCCTGCTGGCGATGTCCTGTTCACCTCCAGAGCAACGTTCCTAATGAGGCGTGTGTCTTAAAACAGGCCTGCAGCCACAATACATGCTGGATAAGTTTAATTATTAATGGATAGAAAAAGAAAGTCTGGAAGAAACAAAATGTGCAAGATAAGGCAGATGGTTTATTGAAATGGGAAAAGAAAAATATCATTTTAATCCATGGAAGCCAATTATTTTTACCTGTCATTCATGGGTTGCCAGTTAGAAACCAAGAGTTAACATTTACCCATGACCAGTGAAAGTGATATGATGAGATTTAAAGGAGGTCTTACATGTTTTACTGCCCTATTGGCCCAATACACTATTGGGCCAATACAGTATACGTTGGTATTAAAATGTACGGTATCTGTATTCTCTAAAATATAGGTGTAACCTAAACTTTTTTATGGATGTTATATTTGTTGCAGTCTAAGGTAAACCTGGATCTGGTTTAAATAGTTTTAAGTCAAGATATTAGAAATGTGTTGGAATTCCTTATGTCTGTAGCAGATGTGGCTCTCTAATTAGGCTAATTAGACAGCCGCTTAAGGTCTCCTCCCCTCTCCTCCCGTGGTTCCCAGGATCTCCTACTCTTACCAGAGCCCAAGAACACATCCACCAGCTAGGGGAGGGAGAGCACTGTGAGACTGAGGCAAATCCATACCTCGCTCTCTCATGCAAACAGTGAAACTGGAAGTGATGTCATATGATGTGATGCTCCCTTTCCTGGGCAGTAAAGCCAGGGGACACATCTTACCAATCTGTGCTTGGTTAGATGGTGTAAAGGACAGGGGAGACATTGGGATCTATTAGACCCCTAATGTCTACATAAAGAGTACCTGTCACCTGCCCAATGCTATCACATAGGGCAGTCACATAGCAATCAAGTAAAAATAAATGTAAAAAAAAAGATAAACAATAAATGATGATAAAATATATAAATTTTTTTTCTCAAATGGCGTAACCCCCATTGCCCTACACACCTGTGCAAATGCAAGCCCAGGGTGTGCATGTACATAAGTAAACCACAATTGCACCACACGCGTGACATATCATCGCAAATGTCAGAATGAGAATAATAATTCTAGCACAAGCACTTCTAGTTAACTCTAAATTGATGAGCTGTAAGGATTTTTAAAGCATCATCTATGGTGATTTTTGGACATCGTAGTTTTTGGCAAAATCGCGGGCGCACAGGGGCGGACTGACCATTTGGAAACTCGGGCACTGCCGGAGGGCCCGGGGTCAGTAGGGGGCCCCATGAGATGCCCCTGGTACCTTTTTCATAGGCTTTTTTGAGTTTGGGCAAGGACACAGGAGCCCCATGATCCCCTATCGCCCGGGGGGCCCCATGAGTTGTCAGTCCGCCCCTGCGGACACACTCAATTTTAAGACATGGAATGCTTGGTATCTATTTACTCGATGCAATAGGTATTCTATTGTGTGTTTTTGTTTTGTTAAAAGCCCTGTCACACTCACATCTCATGTAACCTAAAACTTCTGGAGAAATGCATTTCTGAAGGTTTTTTCTGCCTCTAAACACTCTGAAAATATGCCTTGCACATAGGCTAACATAGAGCTGCTTCTACGGGCTGAAAAAAAAGCAAAATGCCTACAGTATATAAGCAGAATTTTTTATGCCTGGTGTGCATGGACCCTCAGGATGAACTTCAGGCAGAGATAAAGGACATAAATGAATGCAGCTCTGTTCATATTGTTTAAATACATGTTTCTAAATTTAAGCTCCTGAATTTGACTTGGTATTGGCCTCTTACAGGGCTGGATAGTGCACCTGGCTTTACTTACGTTTAGCACAGTATGTGCCCAGGCCCAGAGATGAATGCCCGGAATGTAGGCTTCTTGCATTTTAGGCATTAGTCCCTGAGCAGATACTGTACTAAGTGTTCATACTACTAGTGCACCATTCATCCCTATCAGCTGCAGCAGCTGTCAGCCTCTCATAAAGTTTGACAGGCAGCTGGCAGTGGGGATGGACTAGTGGGGGCAGTGGGGATGGACTGTGCACCTGTGCCCCCTACCTGCAGCTAAATGCCAGATCCCAGTGTTCCAGAGCTAAACAACCAGTGTATATGAGATCTAAATCTCTTTTTCTGCTCTATCTCCACAACACAATGTTTTGGCTGGAGTTGGGCTTTACATTTTTATATCCAAGTACATGATGTATATGTGCAACAAATAGTTTTGTCAAGTGTGCTTACATCAAGCTGAGTTAATATAATAAGAAACGTGACAGATGATGCCTGTGTTGATTTATGGTATAATTCTGTGTAGGGCGCAGCGAAGTCATTCAATGTATATTAATTTTTTCTCCACTTCTCTGATTCTGTTCATATGTTTTACATGGACCATGTATGCTGGTGTAATATAAACTGAGTGCTTGCAGCCAGAAGAATAGATTTAGTTTGATAAAATAAAGCTTGGAAAGTTAATTATCTTGTTATTTACGCATCCATCCTGCAGCCTATAATTGATAAAGCATTGTGCAAATAGTGAGTAAAAATAGATTCTTGTAGAGAATAAATGCTGAAAATGAGAAATGTGTTTTTAAAGTCTTACAGCTGAGGATGAAGGGTTATTGCACGTTAAAGATTTTGAGTCTTCTTTACCAAAGATCCAAGAATATACACATATCACCAGTATTCTGGGATGACTAAAGGTTAGAGCTGTCAGGAGTGTGTAAACGCTTCTGTTCCACACCAGCTGCTTCTCTCATATGAGCCTCCTGGTTTTGGTTGTGATGCATTCTCCCTGTCTATCTGTCCACCTGCAAGATGATTGATGTAGCCAGCCTCTGGGTGGAGACCAAACCTGATTTAAGCCAGCCAAGCCTGCAGTCTCATGCTTGTGATATTGTGTTTAGCACGTGCTTCAAGCTCCCTGTTTTGACCACTATGTTGTTTGGTTTTCCCAGTTCATGACTTCAGATTGGAACTTGGACTACTCTTTGCCTTTTGACTACCAGTTTGACCCTGACTTTTCTGAACCTTGCCTGCGTTGTACCAGGACTGTCACTAAACTCCTCTGCCTGTCTGCCAACCACAGATACCTGTTTGTTGTGTTTAGTTCGCTCCTGCCCCAACATGGTAGCCAGGCTGTATAGCATTGTGCATTAGACCTGGGGGCAACTGAGGAACGGTAGGCCTGCTTGCCTTATGGGAAAGGATGTTGCTATAGGTGAAGAACACAGAAGCCAGCTATAGTGCCTGACCACCTACCTTAGGAGACAATACAACTTTTTGTGGCTACATATGATCTCCATCAGGGCATCAGTGATTGAGGCCCTAAAAGGTCACATTGTCCCATAACAAAATGAAAGCTTTCCTTTGAGCCACTGTGGAGTACTTGTGATATTCTTGTATTCTGTGAGTAAAAGCACCATCCTTTATCATGAGATCTCAGATAAAGTGGATCCAGGCAGATTCATCATGATTTGCACACCTCCTTCAGCCTAACATTTTAAAATTTTTATTTTAACTGGGTGTACCATTCTGGTACTATACAAACCTTTTTTTTGTAAGCTATGCTGCTCTTTCTTTCTGTGTGCCTCAGAACTTGCATGACAGTGCATGTCATTGGGCACCACTCTACTTTCAGGTTGTATGATGGCTAACATAACCCATCACCTTCCTCTGTACCTGTGCTGTCAGGGTCTAGACTACAGGGGGTCTGGTCATCACAAGGCCAGTGTCTTTTGTGAACACAGCAAGTAGTGTTTAGCAGATCACTTTAACCTGCCCACCATTAAGAAGCAGCAATGATTAAAGAAATGTACAGTTGTAGTGTTTGACAGCAATTCGTTCCTCCCACAAGCTGCCATTGTGTATGTACCCACCCTGTATTTTAATGGGTGCCTAAATTTGTCTTAGGTAGCAGTTTACCTGAGACAAATTGAAGCTTCTCATTTGGCTTATCCCCCGTGTTTCAGAATTGATACCGTACTGTTGCCACTGGGTGCTACTGTCATTTAGAGTTAAAGTTATGGGACAAAAGCAAATCTTCTGCAATTATGTGCGTCCTCTCTGGCTCCCACTAGTACTTATTTCAGTGGTGCATGCTGAGAAAGGCTATAAAAGCTTGGGAAATGGCCTGGTGAGCTCTATTTCTCCCAGGCTGTGGCCTGGGGAGGATGTCTGCAGTTTTGCACTGTGTAAGCCTGAGCAGTATGGGGCCTACTATTATTATTATTATTATTATACAGGATTTATATAGTGCCAACAGTTTGCGCAGCACTTTACAATATAAGGGAGACAGTACAATTACAATACATTTCAGTACAGAAGGAATGTGAGGGCCCTGCTCATGGAGCTTACAATCTAAAGGAAGGGGGAGGGGATACAAAAGGTGATAGCTGCAGGGGGATGATCTGGTGGAGGTGATTCAAGTACAGTTCTTAGGTGGAGGTGGGGTAGGCTTCCCTGAAGAAGTGAGTTTACAATGATCACCTAAAGGCAGACAGGGTGGGGGCTGACCGGACATGCTGTGGTAGAGAGTTCCAGAGGATGGGAGAGGCTCTGGAGAAGTCCTGGAGGAGAGTGTGGGAGGAGGTGATGAGGGAGCTAGAGAGGAAGATATCATCGGGAGGAGCGGAGTGGGCGATTTGGGCGGTTTTGGATTTGGTTTTGGATTTGGGCCTAGCACAGGAATTAATTAAACAGCAGCTAGTTAGTGTACTCCATCACTCTAACTTAGATTCTACAACTGCAGGCAATCAGGAAAGGTCTGGCACTGAGACATGAGAGTATCAGAACATCCTGATTGGCTGCAGTTTCAGGGTATCTGATTAGTCATACATTATGATGATAGAGGACACTTGTACTGAATTGTGAGGCCGGCTGCTGTTTAATTCTTTTCAGCTGTCATTTCTCTTGCCCTGCGCTCACTGTGCAGAATAATGACGCCGGGCGGTGGGGTCTTGTGGGTCAGCTCCGTCTGCATGTAAATGTGAAGGAAAGAAAATGATAGAGTGAATATTATCATTACAGATATTAAAGTATAACTCAACGCAAAACTTTTTTCGTAGTTTTGGATAGAGTGGAGATGGATTTGAACGCCTATTAGGTTTTTATTGCTGTCTGTGGCCCTATTAGGGAGATTCACCCTCTCTATTTTTCCTGTTTACCGTTCTCATTGAAAGTGAAGAAAATCACAAACTTTGGGTTGTCCCTGGAAAAGTAATAGAGGGGAAATCTTTGACTAGGGACACTAATTCTGGTGACCTGGGAGATCCCCAAGGAACTACCTTAATTTGCAAGAATTTCCTCCCCCTTCCTGTTTAGCTATGGGACAGGCAGTGAAGGGAAATCTCTGAAATGGGACACAGATGGCAAAAAAAAATCTGACTGTGATCATAACCCTTCTTTGCTCTATCCAAGATGAAAAAAAAGTTTTCCTTATAGTTCTACTTTAACCACATACAGTAACCAGAATACAATTTTTTTTCACTATAGTGATAGTTACATCAGCTGTCCTGACATTTATCTTTGCACCTATGATTCATATGAAAACGTGGAAACATATGGTATATAATACTTTATTCTAATGATTTCAATGTCATATGTAGTGGCATTGTGTACAGAGTGCACAGGAAGTGTACAAAATAACTTGAAACCTGATTGGATATTGAATGTGAACAAACACTTCATCACAAAGCCTTATGTTTGACAAGTTTACAATATCTATACATACTTTTTTGTTACTAATGCCAAGTCTTGCCCAGATATTATATATTAATATCTTTCTTGATCCTTAATAACTTTCTTTTTTCCCCATTATAAACACTCTTAAAAAAGTGGAGGACTTAGAGCTTCTGTAGACAGAGTTTTAATAAATATTGAATAGAATATAGTGGAAACATATAGGAAACATGAATTGTAACACATTTAATAATTCACTCACCAAAATAAAAGGTCCAGAGATTTTTTTGCAAGTGAGGAAATCATCAGTGGTTTGAAGTTTTTTTGTTTGTTTTTTTTTACACTGAAAGATATTGCAATGTAATAGACTCCAAAAGAGGAAAAATAAATATTAAGCCTGATATATTAATTATCCAATTCTAAATACTGATTAAAGGTGTTTTACACTAAAAACCAAGGTACATTTTTCTCTTAATGCTTGTTGAAACAGTATTGGCAATATTTCAGTTCAGTGGTAACTTGATGGCTCAGTTTACGCACCAATTGATGCATATTGTTATACTCTCATGATTCTGCCCCCACCCCCTGTCCCTTTGAAACAGCAAACCCAGCCATGTGTGGCATGATTGCTATGGATTCCATTACTTAACATGCTATTTCTAGCTGGGTAACAATTGGTTGTATAAAAAGATTAAAATA